GCTTCTTAGTGCCTCATAATTTAGTACCTCAGTGTTTACAGAGCAATTTCTCATTCAGAATGTAAGTGATCCCTCAGGCAGAGTGTACTGCCTCCGCTGCCTCCATGTGAGATGACTCACTATGGTCATCTCATTCCAAAGACAGAGTGCTAAAATAGATTCCCAGAGTGCCTTCTTCCTCCAGAGCTGGGAGTTTCCTTTAAGACCAGGGAGAAGTATTTTATTCATTTATCTTTGAATCCTCAGTAGCACAGAAGAGATGCTCAATACGTTTTCGTTGATTTATCATCTTATGTCTATCCCACAGCAAGCTCCAAGATAAATAGGTCCTGTCCTGTACCCCCTTTTTTTAGATGAGAAAACCAGAGATATTTAGTCAGAGTTGAAGTTGGAAAACAAGTCTGAGATTTTTGAACACATTGTTTTTTTCTGCAGTGCCACAGTATAGCCTAGAAAGATTACCAAGGTCGCATTGCTTAATAATTATGTATTTTCTGTTAGCAATTCTAAGAAAGCACATTCCTTTAGTATTCATATAGAAGACTAAAGAAATCTCATGTCAAAATTACCACTTCTTATGCTTTGCAAGGATCAAGGACAAGGCTTAACACTTTTGAGTCAGTCTTGAGCACCTAAAGCACTCTTAAATTTTGAAGTGATGGGAAACAGGAAAAACTTTTTGCATCTGGATGTAAAAATCCATGTGTATTTTAAGGGAAATAGGATCTATGCATTTCTGATTAATTTACACTTAAATCAATGAAGTGTTTTGCAAAAGATATTTGATGTTCAAGAAGCCTTTTTTTAAAAGCCTAATGGGACTTTTAAAGCTGTTTTTTTCTTAAAAAGAGGAACTTATTTTTTACCCCATGATCTTATACTCAAATGATATGGTTTCAAAGTCTCATTTACAGAATCTTTTTGCTTTCAAAGTCTTTCCATTTACCCCTACCCAGAGGTAGCTAACCTGGATTTGATTAAGACTAGCTTTTCATCTATCTATTATTTATTCATTGTTTTGTCAGCAGCATTCTCAAGGAAACAGGCAGATATATTTGGCGAGACTGTCAGAATATTGGATGTGATCTTCCTCAGAAATAAAAGCCTCAGAAGTTTCTAGCAAAATGGAAAAGTGAATGAATTACACAAGAGAAGATTATCATGTGGAGGAAGAAGATGCAAAACAAAGGCTGAGGAAACGGGCTTGGAACAGATGCTGTCTTCGTGTTTGTAGAGTAGATAAAACCAAAAGAAAACGTGTTGAGGGGTGATGGTAACTGGAATTAGTTGAGCAACCACTATAAGTTGGAGTTTTTCAGAATGCTGTTCCATTTAATCTACTCAATGGTTTGGAGATAAAGATGTTATTAATTCCATTTTTTAGATGAAGAAGATATTGACTTCCCTAAATCATTCACAAAATCATTCACATAGTAGGCGGCAAGTGTAGGATTTCTATCTGTGTTTTCCCTTCAGACCAAACATTTTAGAAGACCCCAGCATTTGTCATGCTGCCCGTAGTGAGTCCCCATGGCGATTTCTGATGGGACAGAGATGTGGAAAATAAATAGGTGGGAAAGTTACTTGCTTTCCAATTTTCCTTCAACCCTCTGATTTTGTCAAGAGAGAACATTTCAGTTCCCTGCCAGCGCTGATCTCTAACAAGTAGAATGCTGGCCTCAGGCTCAGAGCCTTAAACGGACTCCAAGTACCTTGTTAGAATTTAAGAATATTGTTTTGCATTCATTCAATTCATTTCTAAGTTTACCTTGCATTTATGGCAAATAAAAATAATTTTCTTATTTTTAGGTATGAATATAAAGTTTTCTTTCAAAACAAATGTTTATTTTATGTTTTTAGAGAAATGAGTTGATTAAAATATTGTATCACACAGATGGTGTACAGACAAAAAAAAAAGACAGCACTGTATATATGACTGCAGCTTGGGGAGAACAAATTATATTAAATCAACATCCTTTCAAACTAACATTATCAAGTAAATTGTCCCCTTAAAGTGGGAAGTATACACATTTAAAGTAGTGTTCCTGAGCTTAAAGTTTTTATTCAATATCGAATGTTTCAGATTACTTTGATTTCCTATAAAATCATCTCTGAAAATACAAATGTTAGGTCTAGAAGTTACAAAGAATTCGAACAGTATAATCTATTCCAGTGGACATTGCAGAAATAGTTTTAGTCTTCAGCTACCATTCAGATACAAACAGAATTATAATATTGTATCTCTGCCTGCCTTCCTCCCTACTAACAATATTTCAAAACAATAATCATCATCCTCACTTAACATCCTGGACATAGGTTAATGGGAATTCCACTGTAGTTTCTTTTTTTCACAGAAGACTGAGTTAAAATAAATCAAATAAATCTTCCCAGTGTACACATTTGAAGCAGAGTATGTGAAAACAAACTAAAACCTACTTCCAAGTTTTGTGACTATTTTATTTGGTTTATCACGCAATTTCATTTGGGGAGACATTGTGGTCCTCTTCAGTGAAAGTTTATTTTTATTTTTTCTTCTTGCCATTGCAAAGGGAAGTCAACATATTGCTCATAAAGTGTGAATGTCTTTATGAACTGCTGATAGATATCAAGTAAATGCTCTGAGGATTAGAAGGTGATTTTGTGGCAAAATACCCACTTTCTCTAAATATTACCTTCAGTAGCTTTATAGCAAATATTGCTGAAGAAAGAGAATATAAATCACTGAAATCCCCCAAGACCTAATATTAAAGTATCATTTATGTTTTTCTTTTGTTTGAATTACTAACACTGTACTGAGTAAGGAGAAAAAAAAGCCACTTTACAAAGAAAAATGAACACAGAGAGGGTGTGGAGGGCGCTAAACACATAGTGCGAAACATTGTGTCCCTTTTTGATCATTGGTTTTGCATGATGTATTCAGGACCTTGGAATTTGGGGCGCTTCTGTGAGGACATTCACAATTGTAAACCATGCACTTATCTTATTGCTAGATGTGAAATATACAATTTTGGAAATGTACCAGTTTGGAGTCAGAAAATCTAGGATGGATTCTGGGCCCTGTTGCTAGAGATAGGACATTTAAAAAATAAAGTAGCGATTGTTCTATTTTTGCTTTGATTTGTTTCTCTTTTAGAGATGAGTTTCTAGTAGCCACTGTTTGACAAATTGTAAAAGAATCCTCCCCATTTTCCTTTCTACTTGCCCTGTGAATTTGTTCCTGCTGGTTGGATCAGTCAAGATGGGAATGCTAATTTATTATGGCAGTCTTTTGTCAATGTCACTTTTATATGTATACAGTGCTTTCACCTCTCCTTTTTCCTTTTTCTGCAGTCACACCTCCTCTAACTCTCAGTAGAAGATTGCATTTAACTCTCTGAACCTGGGGTTCTTCATCAGTAATCGGGAAGAAATTATCCTTGTCTCACCTCTCTCACTGGGTTTTAGTAAAATTCCAATAATATGAAATCCATGTGGCAAAACTGCTAACTCTAAACATACGCACACACATATATACACACACACACACAATGTTACAGCCATTTATGTTAACAGGTGAAGTCAAAAGCAAGAAAGGAAAATTCTTCCTGTTTGTCAGAAATTGTGGGTCTAACGTTATGCTGTGGTTTGGATGTTTGGTTGAAATCTGATCCTCAATGTTGGAGGTGTAGCCCAGTGGGGGATCCTGGAAATGCATCCGTCATTAATAGATTAACACTTCTTCCAGGGTGGGTGAGTTCTCTCTCTGTTTGTTTCCCTGCTACCGCTGGTTGATAAAAAGAGCCTGGCACCCCCACTCCTCCCTGCCACTGTCTCGTTTCCTCTCTTGCCATGTGATCCCTGCACACATCTGCTCCTCAGCTCCCCTTCACCTTTTGAAGCAGCCTCATTGCCTGGAGTAACACCCAAGGTTTGTTGTCTCAAGTCCATGGAGAACAAGGACGTGGACACACAAAGAGTGAGGTTAAGAGTGGAAGTTTAGCAGGGGAAAGAAAAAGAATAGCTCTCTGCAGAGAAGGGTCCCAGGAAAATGGGTTGCCAGGCCCATGGTGAAATGCAGGGAGTTTTATAAATGAGCTGGTGAGGAGGTGGTGTCTGATCTACATAAGGCACAAAAAACTGGTTGGACCAGGTGTGTCATATGCATACAGTGTGAATCTCTGGTAGTCCCACCCTAATCATTTATGCAGGCAGATTCTCTGCCTGAACTGTGCCATTTTGCCCATTTCTTTATTACTGTGCATGTGGTAACAAAGAAAAAAAAAAGGAAGATGGAGCCTCTATGGTGGACATGTCTGGCCCCCAGGTAGCCCTTTTCTATTGGCACCGCTGCTGGCATTCCCCCATGCAAGCTTCTAGCTTCCTTATTTGTTTGTAGCTCAATTTTTCAGGGTGCTCTTTGTTAGAAAAGAAATGATTTTCGTGGCTGCTTTTTGTTAGAAGGGAAGCTCTGCCTGCCTTCTCTTCTTTACCTTCACTATCTGCCTAAATAATTTCTTTCTATCTCCTGCATCACTTTCACTATAAATGGATGCAGCCTGAGGCTCTCACCAGATACACATGCCCAATCTTGAACTTTGCAGCCATCAGAATTTGAGCCAAATAAACCTTTTTCCTTTATAAATGTCCCAGCCTCAGATATATTCCTTTGTAGCAACACTAAACTAAGACTTAATGTATCTGTCATCTTCCATAACAATATTGCACATAGACAGAGAGAGTGGGTACCACATTATATGTGCGGGAGCCGAAATCTCCCTCATCAGCATACATACTTGTCTGACTTGCCATTCTCTTTGAAAATTTCACCATGAACATTTCTCATTATAAGCAAAAGCATTTATGTGAATACTTGGTGGTAATAGTGTTTAGTTTGTTTGATTAACCCACCAGAAGTTCAGTGAATTATTAATGTATAAATAAGTGTATCTATGACTACATCTACCTGACTACTCACTTTTATCAAGTATGCATTAAATCTCATTTTGGTTTCTACTTAGTAGCAGGTGCAGATAATTGGGAAATGAATGAGACAAGATGCCCTCAAAAGCTCAGTCAAGTGGCAGAGACAGACATTGTGAATACATGATCTTGGTTCAACAGCAGCTCTCAAGTGCTGTACAGAATGGATTGATGGAAACAGCAAAGGCATAAGAATCTGAGAAGATCCTTGGAAATACCTCTCTGAATAACCTCATAACCTTCTAACCTTGCGTCATTTAACTTCTCCGACATATAGCTAGGTGTGGCTGGAGTATAGAATACATGGGAGAGTATAAGAAGTTGGAAGATCATATGCCAAGAAAGTTAAATTAGCCAACTCATGGGGTCCTTATCTTCCAGGCTGAGAAATTTGGACATTAGTCTACCAGGCCTCTTTCATGTTGAAAAATATCCAATAGGTGTATATCACCTCCATGATAGCTGTCAAAAATATATAGCCCTAGAGATTGGGTGAAGTGTAGATGTTATAAGGGACAATGGAAGGCAGGAATACCATTTAAGAGGTAATTGCAATACTAACAAAACAACAACAAACATAAAATAGGACTTTTATAAGTGCTTTATCTCATTGACTGCACATAAATAGGTTCCTCATACCTGTACCTATAATAGGAATACCTTAGGATATAGGTACTTATGATACAGGTATTCTTATTGTATTTTATAGATCAGAAGTGTGCGGTAAAGGAAAGTTAGGTAACCTGCTCATGATCACAGAGTTAGAGTGTCTTCAGAAATCTTACTTTTAACCATTACGTTATACTGCAGTAGTGCAGGTGGGAGAACAGGAGGGCCTGAACTAAGCTAAAGCATTATAAAAACATGCTTTTTATTTGAATGCACATTTTGGACTTGCTATCTCTGTGCCTATAATATCATTAGTACCTCCAGAAAAGGCACTCTGAATTTTTGTTATCTATAATGTTTTAACACAGACCTCTTTAGTGCTTAGCAAACAACTCATGCACATTTAGCAAATGTACCAGGATGATGGGAGTCAGAGGCATCGGTAGATTCTGTCTACAATTTGAAGTACATGATTCTACTACAACGTGAGACTCCAGGTATTGTCAGGCTGGCATGCAACAATGCTCATTGCTCTTTCCTTCCTCCATCATTGTTGTTCATTGCTTTAACCTAGAATTTCTTATTTATTTTCTCTTGCAGTTTATGCATATGGACATCTTGCTTGACCTCCAAGATCCAGTCTGCTGATGAGGCGACTACTATAAGAATTATTTGCAATCTCTGCCCATCCACAAACTCTCCACCCTGACTACTGCACTTAGAGCACTCTGCAGTATTTTCCAGATGTCTGTAATCTGTCCTGTCACAGCTACAAAGAGATCTGGGAAAACAGGGAACCCGTATGATTTTAACTAAGTATGAACTACACGCAAGGCAATATGCAGTAAGGAAAATAAAATATCTTGAAGGACTGGGAAATGATAAGTGACTGACAGTGTTTAAATTGTGTGGATGGTGTACCTATAGCTTAAGTCAAACAAAGTTTGTCCCACTAGATTTTCACATGTAATATAGTGAATAGAGAAGATATGAGTGAATAATTTCCTCACAGTGTATAATTTCTTCAGCCTGACATCCACAGCCTTTATAATCTGCCTCCAAATTCCTTTTACTAACCAATCTCTCATACCCTCTGTGTGAAACTTTCTGTCCACTCACTCTGAACTTAGTGCTTTGGTTTACTAGATTTTTTAAAAATTTTTTTGACTATGGCAGTTATTGCAGATACCTCTTGCCATGCTGTAACCATAGCAGACCCTTCTAATTGATTGTGACTGAGTATGGAAGCATTTTTAAGATTCATTTCAGGGCAGCACTTAAGACAGCCACTAAAAATCATTCAGAATTTGACATTTAGATTAAGTTCCTTTGCCAAATAAGCTTGCATGCTTCCTTCAGCTTGAAATGGCCAACTTCATCAGTCTCATCATTAGGAATCCTGCTAATTCACGTCCTCCATGAAAATGTCCTGATTTCCTCAATTCATGGGGAGTTACCCCCTCAGACCTAATGTATCACAGGTCGACAACTTTTAGAAAATCCTTCTCATTTGTTCCCTAGTCTGGTTCCTTAGCTGTTGCAGTCAGAGCCACGTTTTTGCATGACATTACCTGTCTACTCCTTTGCGGGGTAGAAGCGCTCCTCACATTCCTTGTGGCACTCATATAAGCCTGGCACTTAGTAGGAGTTCAGAGAAACTGGAATAACAGAGATAACCAACTGATGGGTGGGGAAAAAGCAAACCCGAAGAGATGCTGATCAAATTTAGTATAAACCAAGACAATGGAAAGTGAAGAGAGAGTGGATTGACAGCGCCATTATGTAAGTTAATTTGTTCTAAGATGTCAACCCCCTTCTTGGCTTTTCCTGGCTTTCAATCTGCATGAACACCTTGTCCTGCAGACAGACAGACAGCTTCAGGGTGGATTAAATAATCAGCCAAGTGAGAAGAGCATCTCCCAATATGTCTGCAAAAACACTTCTACTTCAAGAATGATTATTAAAAGCCACAAGGAAGGCAGTGATAACACAGTTGAAACATTGACTTACTGATCAAAAGAGACACTAATACGCACTCCTTAAGGGAAACAGTTAGATTTTAACATGCATACAAGCAAATCCCTTTGCTCCTTTTCCATTCTGCATTGTCACGCAAAAATCCCATTTCTGATACTCTCATTTTGGCTCACAGCTTTTCTGCAAATAGTTTAATTTGTGCTCTGTTTTGTCTTCTTTCCTTCCTTGCTTTCCTGCTTCTTTCCCTTTCTTTCTTATTTTTCTCTTTCTTTCTTTCTTTTGTTGTTTTCATCTATTTTAGCAGAACTATTTTTCTTTAGTTTCTATTTCTTTTTAGTATCACTCTGTCTTTCGCTTTCTACCTTCGTTTATTTCTTTTTTGATTACATTCAGAGAGATTTTCCTCTGCAAATAGATGGTGTGGCCACCAGAATAGCACTCACTGTACAATTTGTTGAAGAGTGAACTTCATCAAGTAAAATTGCAGTGGGACTTTTTTTTGGATTTTTTGTTTGTTTGTTTTTTAGGTGAGATATCATTACCCCTTGAAATCTAGATGTCCACATTTGTAACATAACATGAGTGCATTATAGCAGGCACACAGGAAGACTCTTAAATGGTAACAATGGTGACTTTAATCAATATTGCATATGGAAATTGAGCCACTGACCTTGAGATATCTATTATATTGGCTCAATGCAAATTGGTTCTTTCATTTTAATCCCCTGGGTTTTTTAACTCATTTTATGAATATCAGTCAATTTTCTGAGATGTTTGGCTCTTTTCACCTAGGATAACTGTCTTCTGCAACATGCTAACATTCATTTCCATGTGGCAGGTAGAGAGGTCACTAGGTTTGTAAGCACTCCTAATTAAAATGCATGATGCTACAAAGGTAAAAGGGACAATGAGTCATAAACAAATCGCCTGACAGTAGCTGACAGCCATCGACTGGACGTACATTTTTTTTCATTGAGAATAGGAAAGATCTGGATTTGTAAAGATGCACACATACCACACGCTCTTCCAAGTTAACTCTTTCTCATGGAAAATCTGTCTCTGACTTAGGATTCAAATGATAATTGAAACTGGAGGAGCTGACTTTTCTCATACTTCCTCTCAACTACTTGCATTATTTACCATCTTAAAATCAATTTTCAGGAAAAAAATAAGGTGAGATCCATTATTAAATATTTTTAAACATTAGGTGTTAGTAATCATACCATTTCAGATCTGGAAGGACATTTCAAGATAATTGCAGTCATTAATCTGTTATTATTGTTGTCATTATTATTATTATTTTGAGACAGGGTCTCACTCTGTTGTCCATGCTGGATTGCAGTGGTGCAATCTCAGCTCACTGCAACCTCTGCCTCCCAGGTTCAAGCAATTCTCCTGCCTCTGCCTCAGCCTCTCGGGTAGCTGAGACTACAGCCATGCGTCACCACACCGGCTAATTTTTTTTTTTTTTTTTTGGGCAGAGGCAGGGTTTTGCCATGTTGGCCAGGCTGGTCTCAAACTCCTGACCTCAAGTGATCTGCCTGCCTAGGGCTCCCAAAGTGCTGGAACTACAGGCACAAGACCACTGGAATCCTTGCCTACTGATTTGTTTTACAACCTGAGATCTGTCCTATTCAAGCAACTTGCTCCGGATCACACAGGGAGTTTGGAAATGCTGGCTCTTAATTGGCCCTGGCACAAAAGTCTTGTGCCTGTGATTTCTACTCAGTGAGGATGCATAACAGCTAAGAGCCAAAATTCAAATTCAGGGTTCCTGACTGCCAGATCAGAGATCTTTCATTTTATGTGTGTCCTAAAATGACCCTTTTAATTAGTTCATTGAAAAGTCAAGTGGTTTTATATCACTTATGTTTATATTTGCTACAGTGAGTTGGATATCAGCACTTTTTGAGTGTCTCCTGATATCTGGCATTTAAATGTGTATTACCTGTTTTATCATCTGTTCAAAACTGTAAGGTAGGTTATATGACCTCAATTTTTGAAATGAGGAATAGATAATTAGAAAGACTTAATAACTTTCTCAAGAAAACGTAGACTAAATCCTGGAATTTGGCTTGACCTATTAGTATTTAGAGAGTCCACATAATTTTCACCAAACCATTCTGTCACCTAAATCTTCTAAGTAGTGTCATTACAGTGCCCGGTGTAAAATTAGTCATCTTATGACTAATTTTCCCAATGTTAATGAACATCTAGTGTTTATGATCTTGATGAAAAAGGTTTAAACAAATATATCATATAGTACACATGAAATATGTCATATGTATCATATATTATGCAATAGATATTATATGCAATATGTATTTTATATATAATATCCATTTATAATATCTATTTGATAGAAATAATATAATACCTATTTATTTGATTAATTGCCTACATTTTTTGATATATTTTTTCTAAGGCTAATTGATTGAATGGTAAACCAGAACCAAAGAGAGGAACATAGGAAAGACATTGTCTAAATAGAAATTTTGCATTCTTACTATTCACAATAGCAAAGACATGGAATCAGCCTAAATGTCTATCAACAGTAGACTGGATAAAGAAAATGTGGTACATATACAACATGGAATACTATACAGCCATGAAAATGAATAAGATCATGTTCTTTGCAGGAAGATGGAGGAAGCTGGAGGCCTTAGCAAACTAATGCAGGAACAGAAAACCAAATACCATATGTTCTTACTCACAAGTGGGAGCTAAATGATGAGAACACATGGTTATATAACACTGAGTCCTATCAAAAGGTAGAAGCAGGGGAGGAGAGAGAGGACAAGAAAAACAATTAATGTGTACTAGGCTTAGTACCTGGGCAATAAAGTAACCTGTACAACAAACCCCCATGACATGAGTTTACCTATCTAACAAACCTGCACATGTACCTCTGAAAATAATACAAAAAAAAAAAAAGTTTAAAAAATAAATTGTCATTCTTTGCAAAAATAGTTCAAGTATTATTCAGAATACCATTACAAAACAGGCATAAGCCCCCAGGCATATGAAGAACTCTTATTTTTCAATAGTAGAGTCACAAATGTTTGGATGTGAGTAAATGCGCATTGCTTGAATTCCTTTAGAATCCCCCTATCCACACTTTCTGCTAGGTCGGCAGTTCTAATCCATTCTTCTTTTCTTAGTGAGGGATGCTGAGGTCCCCCCAGTCAGAATTCAAGGCTGCATCCATCATTCTTTCTAACTACTCATGCAGTCTTTCAGTAAAAGTTCATCTGATTTTTAGCACCTTAATAGTTCTCAAATATATCCATTTGCATCACCCCTGACATTGCTCTATTCTAAGTCTTCACCATCTCTTGGCGACATTATTACAAGCTCCCGAACTGGTCTACATAAATCCATAAAAATCAGCTTTCAGAAATGGAAATCGACTCATGTAACTGCATAGCTGTTCCTCTCAGCCCTCGCCCTCACTGCTCATGATATTCTTTGGAACCCCACTGAGGTTGCCCTTTCCTCTCAATATGCAGATCGACACCTTTGGAAACTGCTACTTCTTCTCTGTGTTGGGGAACACTGGCCTTGGCACTAGTCCTTATGCAATCCAGACTCTGCTCATCTTCTCTCTGCCTGAAACTCCCCATTCTGGATTAATATTACTCATTCTTTAGATCTCAGTGCGAGCACTCTTTCTTTAGGAAGACCATCCCTGAATCTATATCCATTTCCAGCAAATCTGTTGGGACTTTTGTTCAATGCTTTCATACTACTCTTTCTTCTTTTGTGTAGACAAACCTATACTTAATCCTGGCTGTGTCACATATGAATTCTGTTATTTGGTAAAAGTCAACCTGCCCACGTTGAGTTCAATTTCTTCTCCATGCTGGCAATAATGATGTCTACATCGTAGGTGTGTGGTTGGAATCAAATGGGATAACAAAGGTAATGCCAGATAGGTGTTTGCTTTGTTTTTAACCTTTGGT